CTGTGTAACTGCCTCGAGGGTGCTTGACCATTTTAACACAACGTGGTGCGATCATCCCCCTTGCGCGGAGTGAGGGTTCTCCACCCCGCACAACATGATCTACTCGACCACCATTATGGTTACCGCCAAAAAAAAAAAACGGAGGTAAAAAAAACCCCGGTAACCTGGTTGCCGAGTTCACGAAGTGAATTGGCTTGTTTTACAACGTCGTTGCCAAGCGACGAAACACAATCCCGACGGCAAACACCGGGGGGGGCGGCTTGTTTTACAACGTCGTTGCCAAGCGACGAAAACCCAACCCCGATGGCAAACACCGGGAGGGGCGAGGGTTGCTAGGGTGAGCAAGCCGGGGGGAGGGGAAAGGCGCAGGCATGGACAGAGACCATGTCGCTACTATTAGAAGAGGGAAAACTACCATTGGCAATCCGGGTTGTTGGAAAGGCTGAGGGGGGTAGGGCTGGCTCTTGTGTGGAGACCAGAGACAGACAGAGATGCAGACAATGAGGGCGATGCTCCACCGCCGCGCAGAGGCGTCAATTTCGTACGCGGCATCCCTGCGCGCGAGCCAGGCCCCTGGTCCCCATCGAGTTGGCACCTTCTCATTGGCCAAACACGTGGCGCTCTCTATCTCCCCCCGCACCAAATATTCCTGGCCAGAAACCCTCGCGATGACGTGGCACCGGACGCTTTGCGGCCAACAACGGAACCGTCCATGTCGTTGATATAAATGGGCGGATGCTAGCGCCACTTTTTGTTGAACGCGAACGCCCCCCTTCTATTGAACCATAAACCGGTTTTCATTGAACCATAAGCACATTTTCATTGAACGACCTTTTCATTGAACCATAAGCCTATTTTCATTGAACGAAGAGGCCTATTTTCATCGAAACAGCAACGTTTCTCCTGTGGGGCGAAACGAACACTATCCCGACACCAACCGTCACCTGGTCGTCCGTCCACACCCAGGGATACCTAACGCCGTACCCTGCCTACCTTACCCCGGCAGACCTATTCCTTCAAGCCGAACCGGCAGAGCTTGGCGATCGCCGACCAATCCCTGGACATCATCCAGGCCTGGGGAGAAGCGTTTCTTCCCCGACGGGTAAGGTCTCGGCCTGGGCGGCTGCTGCGTTTTACTCTTAACACGTGCGTGTGATCTTTTTGGGCTGATAATTTTTTGTAATCGTGGCTCCGATAGTAGGGGGTGGTGTGTCAAAGGCCCTCGACCCTCTTATGCATATATCGGAGACCCTCTTATGCATATATCGGAGACCCTCTTATGCATATATCGGAGACCCTTCTGGAATACGAAGGGTCCAGCGGGTCTTAATCCGTGACAACCAATTTCGACCCGCTTACCATGTCGGAGCCCCCCCTTACGAGGTACCAGTTACCCCCGAATATGGGAGCTATGGCTGTACGTCGAATATAGGGTCCGTCCACAACGTTCTCTGCCTCCGCAAGCACGCATACATCCGCTATCGTCCCTTCTCTCTTGACGCCCCCTAGCCTCCCTCGTTCCGCACACAACCCTGACCCCCCACCGTCCCCGTCCCCGTCCCCGTCCCCGCCCCCTTGACGGACGGCACAGCGGGAGTTCCCTCTTTTCGTCGAAACCTACCACGAGCTCAGAGCGGAGGGGCTGCCTTTCTCCGCCCAGTACCAGTCTGACCGACCTCCGGTGCTAGACCCTGGCGCGGGCAGCCTGCTCGATAGGCCGGACGGGCAAGCGGGGGCGACGGCGGCGGCGGGGGCAACGGCTTCAGGCGTGGTGGTTGCGACAGCGGTGCCGCAGAGCGGGGAGAGGGCGGCGGCGGCGGCGGCAGGGGGAGCAGGAGCGGGGGCGGGGTCATCTTCGCCTCCGAATGATCTCCGGGAGCTGTCGGGTGTGTTGGGGGGCGGGTGTTTTTTTTATGGCTGTCTCATGACACAGGGTTGCTTGAGGTGTCGATTCGCTTTTATTTTTCCCCTTATTGATGAAGGACTACGAGGTTGCCGGGTACTGCGGCTAGATACTGTTGTACCTGGGTTTCTTGCCTGGCTCGGGTGCCGGCTATTCCGGCAAGATTCAGTATATTCCGGGCGTGTTCGTGACCTAGCTCGGTTGTGTGTGATTTGCGGGTAGATACGGTTCTTCCATGCTTTCGTGGCCTGGCTCGATTGGCGGCTTTCCGGGACGATGGGATGGCCTTGCGTGTCGTGCCTGCGTGAGGTCGGTCAGGGCTTGGTTTGATTTGCCGGTCCAAAATATTTTCGTTTCCGCGGCGGTTGCGGATCGCACGGCGCTCCTGCCATGATCTCCAACTTCCGGCCACACCCCACTCCTCCCCCGTAGCCCAGGACACTTGCAACGAGGTAGCGAGAGCACACTCGCAGACTTCTCTGGTTGTGCCAGAACGAATAGCCTTGGCGTGTGGCGCTGATTGGGCAAGCGTTTGAGTCGTCGACCGACCGCAACGGCCCGCTTACGCTTGGCAAGATGCACCGTCTCTGCGTGCTGTCAATCACCACCGCTTTTTTTGCCGGTTGTGTTTTTTTTGTCTTTCGTCGCCCCCATGCCCCCCTCACGTGTCCACCCTAGCCTTCGTGGACATCTCGCTACATCCCCATCGTTTCTCTCGTATGTGTAATTATCTCGCACCCCCCCCCCCCAC